CTGAGCTTCAGTTCCCTCAGTCTATAAAAATCAATTTAATAGGGGAGGCTAGGGGACTGTCTAGGGCGGGGGGAAAAATGGACACAAATGTATTACCCTTGGTAATAAAAAATTTAAAAAAAAAAAGAACCTGAGCCTAGGAATCCTGGAGGCCTCTATTCCAAACCGCGTTGCCCTGGACCAGCCTCTTCCCCTCCCTGAGCTTCGGTTTTCTCTGACAAAAGGAGCAATGCTGATAGTTTTGTTGTGAAGATTAAGTGAGAGAATTAATGTAGTGCACATGGTACTTAGAAAGGTCTAAATAAAGGGTTCACTGCTCTTTAAAGAAGCCAGCAATAGAGAGGTGTCCCTCCCTCCCTTTATTTTTTACTTCTAATAACAAACTATGTGGTGCATCCACAAGGCACCAGGTTCTGTGCTAGGTGCTGGGCATTTCACAATGAACCAAGTAGACACACATGGATGAAACAGAGACATTGGGTGAGTGATTGAGAAATATGAAAGATTCGTCTGTCCCTGGGGTGGAACACAGTGGTCAGACAGAGCTACCCTGGGGTAATGTCTTTAAAATGTGACCTTAGAGGGTGACCCCGAAGCCCAGAGGAGTCTCCCAGTCCCGCCCAGGCCGAGTTTTGGGGAGATGTCTCCAAGCCTGCTGCCATTGGACTTGCCCCTTCACTCAGGTCTTCACCTCTGGGGTGAGGCTTAGTGGGTGGATGAGAAGAAAGTGAGGCAGTGACCATCAAACTTCTAGGTGGGGGTTAGAAACCCTTTGCACAGTAAGCCTACCTGCAGGAAGCAAGGGACACATTAGAGAGGCCAGCTGACCAGGGGTCCAGGGACCAATGATTACTATGGGAGCTGAAGGCAAGCCCCCTTCCTGGGCTGGGCCTCCACCTCTCCGCCTGGGCAGTGGGCCCCACATACCTCCTGGGCTGGGAAACGGGCTCTCTCCCACCTTCACTGTCTGCTTGTATGTGATGACAGCCTTGAGCAGCGTGTGCTAATTAGATGTGGATGTGCGCACAATCGCCTGAGGCTTCTGTCTTGCCAGGTGGGCATGCATCCCCAGGGATCAACCTCCAGTACTACACAGATGGTGTCAGCCTCAGACCGATTCTCACCATCTTTCACCATCTCTATCTTCCTGGAGAACCATGGGGAGAACCCACAGGAGAAAGTGTCGGGTACACCTGTGTCCTCCAGAGAGCACTGTTCCATGCCCTGTGTGGAGATACACAGAGGCAGGGGGACCTAAGCACATTGGAATCAATCGGGAGTGACGAGGCATCCGGCTCAAAGCAATACAGTTTTGAGGACCTCTGCTTACAAGGAACCATTCTAACGGAACAAAAGAGCTCTTAAATCGTGGTGGGGGTGTCATCCCATGAGAACCCCCTCCTTTTTCAGAGAAAGGAAATGAGGCCAGCAGCATGGGGTGGGAATGGTGACTTCTCCAAGGCAAGTCCATCCATCAAGCTGAGCCCAGATCTCTGGTTCCAGGGCCCTGGTCCTGGGCTGTTGATTCACAGTGTCGCCCCCCCCCCCCCCCC